ACCTGCGGTGAAATGAACAGTTGGGTTAATATGGCCCACGGCTACTTAAGTCTCTTGTAGCTTCTTGCCAGTTTCGGTGTATTAGTGTTACAGTTACAGTTCGATAAAGTTCTTATCATCGTTGTTGTTTTCGAGAGGTCTGTTTTAGCTATAAAACACTTTTGTTAGTTGATCGTAAACCTAAAGCACGAACTAATTACTACCATGAACCAAATTAACCCTTTGAATGCCAACCCAGGTGCATGCCTCGCAACCAGCGGCCATATTGGATTTTTCATAAAATAATTTTACTCAACAATTTGAGCCCTTTGGCATTGTATAACTCTTTTTAGCTGCGACATTGTCCTCCTCACTTTCACTATCTTCGTTATTTTCATTCTCGCTTTCGAGTTCGTCGATCTCTTCGACTTCTTCCCCGCTTTCATCTTCATCCTCCGAGCTCGAAATACTTTCATTGTACTCTGAAACATCTCCATCACTTTCGTCGCTCATATCAGAGTCTCTATCAGCGAAAACTTCTACCAAAACTTCCTCAGCTGTCATTCGACGTGTGCTGGCCGCCATGTTGGATTTGGCAAGGATTTGCCGCGAAAATAAACAAAGCCTTCTGGGTGTTATGTTGTGCCACAGTGCAAAATTCTGTGGTCAGCGGATTCTCAAATTGTTCCCAGGTCCTTTGAAACAACCACGGATAAAAACCTTGAACGACCGAGAAAAGAAACAAAATGCTTGTCAGAGGACGTATATATACGTCCTCGGTATCTGAGGGTCCTATTTTAGGACGTATATATACGTCCTTGGCATTCAAAGGGTTAATCCCCCCTTCATCGTTGTTAAGGTTGTCCATCTGTTGGTTTGCGACCTGATTGGACCTCGGTCCTTGGTTTTTTAGCAGACATGTCCAAGACGGGCAAAAGATGTCTTGAAGTCTTTCCAGACATTCCCTGTGTCTTGAACTTTCCTTTGAGTAAAAGGCATTACGAAGTTTCCATCTGCAAATTAGTACAGTTCGTGTGGTCAAGTGAGTGGGAGGACCTCATGATTTGCAGGAGGAAGGGGAGGGGATCATTCAATAACTAGCACTCCCTGCACCTTACAACTGAGTGACGACTGACTGTCATTTAACTATTAAAGGGGAACTGAACCCGAAAATTGGAATTTTTTTGCATTTATTTCTAGTTAGCGTTGGAGGAGTAAGATAAAATGTCGATATTCATTTTCGTTCACTTTTTGTTTTTACGAGAACACTCGATTTGAAGTTGCCTTTTTCTCGCTTTTGCAGCTGTAATACCGTCGGCTCAAAATGAGTAGCAGCGGTCGTTTATGACGTAAGTGGTGGGAAACATTTGAGAAGGCCTCATATCAAAGTTCAAAGCTAAGCGCATTTCGCCCTTCATTTCGCAAATATGAGTGGAGTACAGCCTTTTCAGTTTGAGCCGACCCATGATCCTGGTGAAGAACGAGTTGGCTTAGACGAAGAAATAGAAGCAGAAGCTCCGACAGATTATTATTCGAGGATTGGAAACGCAGAATAGTGTCTTTTGGGCGGTCATTGCATAGCTCTGCGCACGACCGACGGATGTTTTTGTTGTCGAGATCTTGAGGAGTTGAATCAGAAGTTTGATGAATCAGGTATGTTTTCCATTGAATATTTATTTTTTCGTATTGAAGCGCAGGTAGTGTTTACTCTATGTACTGTGTAGATCGGTTGAGCTTCTCTTGTTTACTTCATTTTCATGATTTCAACGAAACAACTCAGTAAGTCATTACCGTATGAACTGTTACTCAGTGTAGCCTCTCTTATTTACTTCATTTTCATTAGTTCAGTGTAACAACTTTGTAAGTCAGACTTTTACTACCGTGGCTTATCACATTTTGTATTTCCTATGTCAACAGGAGTTCCTTGTATTACTGAGAATTCCAAATTCAGAATTGTTTGCCTCGATACTGATGTGTTGCGTACGGCACTTATCGGTATTCACCACGCACGCTGTAATCCTATCTCGGACCCCATTGAGAACGGGTCAGTTTCAAATATTTTCTTTCACAAAGGTCTTACATCCCTATTTTATTTACTAACGCTATATAGTAATTCTTTTACCTTCGTTTTACAATTGATGTTTTTGTTTCTTTCCTTTTTATTAATGCGTGTTTTTCTTTCTTTTATAGAACGTGGCGCCTGGCAGGGTCCACGGTGTGTTGGGACATAAAATAAGAGAGTAATTCCAGCGTGCGCTGTGAAAGCCATACGTAACACATTTCCTGATACGAGTGGCCGATATTCAGGCTTCAAGCTGGCAGAGCTAGAAATAAATTGAGGTAAACAGTCCCGGATTTAAAACAACGATTAAATAATGAGATTGAAATGCCTTCTCAATCCTATTAAGTTATTGACAACAAAAACATTCGCCAGCCCTTTCGTAAATACACCATTTTGTGTTTCCAATTCTCGAAGAAATTTTTCTTGTTTTCCGGCGAAACTTTCAAATTCCACGTATATATGCGAAAAAGTATGATAATTTTAAGTAACAGATTTTAATTTCGATGTATTTTAGTAACTGCAACCATTGGTCTTAAAATTTTTCATTTTAATTTCGATGTATTTTAGTAATTGCAGCGATTACTCTTAAAATTTTTCATCGCCACGTTTGGTGCAGCAAGATGTAAATGCATGTACATAATAGTCGGTACTTGCAGGAAAACAATTAATTACCGGTAGGAGCTTTACAATGTAAGAAGGAGTTCATACAATATGAAAAATATTTCACATCCATTACGAAATAAAATAGGTAGCTATTTCTGGTTCTTTAGCTCTGTTGGAGGTGAACAATTTGGTTTGCAGTTTGTTACGAAATCTTGTCATTCGTTTCCTTTCGCGAGGGAAGCCACATAAAATCACATGGGTAATGTTGAAGAAAGCCTAACAACCCTCTGTCGTTATTTATAAGCGAACACTTGTGCAAGACTAGAAAATATTTCGACGTCCATTACGACATGAAATAGGTAGCTATTTCTGGCTCTTTGGCTCTGTTCGGGTGAACAATTTAGTTTGTTTACGAAATCATTCGATTCCTTTCGCGAGAGAAGCCACATGAAACTCAGACGGGTAATGTTGAAGAAAGCCTAACAACTCTCTGTCGTTGTCTGACCCGAAGAAGTTCCCCCAGTGTGTGCAAAATAAAGTAACGAAACATAAAGCAAAAACACATCTCTCTACTTAAAAAAAAGAGAGAGACAACTTATTGTGCGATTTCTTTTAATGACTCACTAAACTAAGCACGGGATTGCGTACAATCGAGTTGAGTTTCGCCGCCGATAATTTTTTCACACACACAAACTGCTGAGCTGACGAGGATTGCAAAAATCTTCCATGTATGAAAGTATTATGTGTTCAAAAGGTGATAACTAAGGGAAAGAAACAGAACGTGGACGACAACATAATTCTTTTTACGCAAGTTGAAAGATCGACTAAATAAACAATACAGAGATATTCACTGATCAATTCATGACACCGCAGCGCATCCAACGCTTGCTCAATGATAATATCTTATTTTGCAGGATACAACTGTTACTTTTTCATTTTCGTAGTTAATCTCACGCCTCCATTACAAGCCACACAACTTAGAGAACTATATAACCATGC